TGGCTCGTATGCAGACTTTACCTTTACCTAATGGGGTGGTGCTTGTATATGTCAAGACTAATGGTTAATTCATTTTCCTTGCGGTTAACAGAAGTCTTAGAACCTTAAGAATCATTGTTTCAAAAAGTTACAAATTAAGTTCCATTGTTTAAAAAAGTTTCTAATTTAATTTGATTACTGTATTCTGTAAAACATATTTGGGATGGAAAAAGGCATTATAGTAAGAATTGTTGCCAGACACAATTATTCTCCCGGTTTTTCCATGTACTACCAAGGCCATGCCACTCAAAAACAAGATCTTGAGACTTTCAATTACGTGGCTAAAAAATGTTTCTACGGTTAACTGAGAGTGTTTATGGCTAACGGTTAAAATTGTACAATTTTTACGCCTAACGGCTAAAGTTTTGGCGTGTTTTACGGCTAGCGGTTAACCCCATTAAGACCCTCGTATTAACTATTAAAGGATGTTTTTTGTTTTCCCCATGAAAAGCACTGTATGTTAAAGAAACTTGTTTTGAAAATAAATAAACTTTTACAACAGTTAACATTCTATGAGACCTTTTGTGTCAATCTTGACTCTGAATGAATATGCAGGTAAAAAAGCCAAATTAGAGGTGTTCCTTTTAGAAAAATCTTACCAGGAACTGTTTAAGCGTTGATTCATGGATACGTTCCAGTGAAAAAAGAAATTCACAATTCACAGCCATGAAAATCAATACGCAATTAATGGCAGTCAGAATCGGAACTGGTAAATCAGGTCACGACCATAGTATTCTTCGCCCCTCAGCCTATTTCTTTCCATCGATTCTTCCACTGGTTTGGAGCGGGAAATCAAAATGTATAGTCATGGACGTTCAAGTAGCTACGCCGTTTTGTTTTAACACCAATTAGAATATGTTGATGTCTATGACAAGGGTGCTGTGGATGACGAGGCCCTGGGGGGGAACTCCCATATAAAAAAGACAGGGGTGGTCATCGTACCTTTTAAGGGTTAAAACCACGATTTTGGCACCTCTCAGGGTGTTCAGCATCAAAAGGTCCACAGCGGGGGTTTTAATGGTACCTTTTAGGGCATTGAGCCGAAAAACTGAATATGACAGGAGATAAAGTGTTGTTTTAGAATTGGCCGTACCTCTTAGGGGTGAAAACATTTCTAGTTAGGCCCACAAAACATGATCTTGATACCTCTTAGGGGTTCTTTTCAAACTTTTCGACGAGCACCCNGGGAAGACAAGGAACATGTACATGACCAGCTGCATGTATTTACAAAGTGAGGAGATACTGATAGTTAATGGAATGAATGTAACCATGGAAATCGATAATGAACAACTGCTATATGAAAAAGGAAACAAGCAGTTGTTTTGTTTTGTTCACCGATGTTAAGTCTACTGAAAAAGTGTAAAACAAACATACAGTTTAAAGAAACATTCCTACGCTATGAAAAATATGTACCTCATAATCAAAAGATCCAGGGAATAAAGGTGATAGTGAACTTTCTGCATGGAGATTGCTCTTGTCCTCTATATTGGCTTGAATAAAATACAACAGATAATGATTGGTATCAGGGGAACTAGTCGAGGGTCCAAAAATTCTACAAGATTGTAAAGGAAAATTATTTTTTACATGTGTTACAGCGTCTTCAGCGTTCGCGTTTCTTCTGCTGTAATTCAAGTCCCAACGGAAAAATTATTTACCTAACATTGAAGCCCAAATTGAATGCCAAAAAAAAAAAAGAATGAAAAAGAAAGCGCTAAATTCTGACGCCCAGTGTGACCAAGAGCCCGTGGGAATGAAAAAGTTATAGACAAGGCCACAGTCACAGACAGCGGCGAAAACAGGAACTCGTGTAATCATGAGCCTCTGTTTATATTTCGATTTGAATGAGTTGTGTACCGTTACCCTTCACCCTCGATCATTTACCCTGACCATCCTCGACGTACTACCCTCGAGCCTCGACAAAAAGGCAAACTGCACCAATGTGGCCCGGGTTCGATTCCGGCCCGGTGCCACATGTGGGTTGAGTTTGTTGTTGGTTCTCGCCTTGCTCTGAGAGTTTTTCTCCGGGTTCTCCGGTTTTCCTCCCCCCTGAAAAACCAACATTTCCAAATCCCAATTCGAACAGGATAGAGGACCTGAATAAAAACCAGCTAAGACTGATGTGACTTCCTATCCAAATGTTATATACATATTTGATATTATAATTTAACGAATAAACCACCCAGTCAAGATTTATAATACAGATAATAGACTAGTTGTTATACCTTTTGTATTGCAGTTGGCGCCATCACTGAAAGTGACTGTCGCAGACTGTGGCAGCAACTGTGACATCTTAAGCAAAAGATGACAGGAAAGAATTAGATCTTTTCAAATCTTTTTCAATCTGGTATAATCAAGTTTTCAAAACCAGACTCAGTTTTGCTAAACTTCGGAATACCTCGCCGGCACTAAAATATTCCTCATTTACATCCTGCTACCGCGATCTCACGCTCACGAATGCCTCGTTCTTGAAGGGAAATTTAAATGGAATGAACAGTCAAATATGTATTCTTCGTCCAAGAAGCCAAATTCAAAATTAAAAACAACAGTCAAACTTACATATCCCTCGCTCTTGTTGAAGCGAAAAGGAAAACGGAATAAAGAACAGACAAAACGCAGCGATTCCTCTCGACACTTTGCTTATTTTAAATTCGATGTCTATGGCACCGCAAACCGCGGTAGAAGCTCAGTCAACACTTGTTTCGTGTTTATAGACTATATAGTTCCTAACCGACTGCAGACCACGGACCACACCTTTTACTGAGATTGATGTACTTTCCGTTCCTAATGCCAGATATTCTGAAATTGCTCACTCAGTTTCTGCAGTTGTATTTTAAACGGACAGCCTGTCGATTTTGGAATCAGTCACTAACCAAACGTTACCTTAAATTGTCCACACGAAGCCAAATGCAACAAAAGCCTCCCATTAAGGGGTATTTTTTCTCAGGGTCTTTTTCCCAAGTAATAAATGTGAAAACCGTTTGCAAAAGCTATTGGCGAAGCTAAGCAACTTTGGTATTCCACGGGAAATATGTTATGAATAACTTGACATATCAAGAGAATCAAAAATAATGAATAATAAAAACACGATTTCAGCAGTTTGAATTTCGGGAAACAAAATCAATCAGAATGAAGCTAACTGAAAAGCGTCCAACACATTCCACTGACCTTCGATTACTGCTAGTTTTTAAATGGCCTGCACATTTCAAGTCCTTGGATTTGAATAGAGCGTATGCACTCACGTGTCCAGCAGCCATACAAATTTATTGGAACAAAAAAAGTGTTTAAATAAGAAGAGTTGAACTCCCACAGGATTGGTTTGGTACACCAACCTGGCCGCCGTTTCATTGTTTTGGGACACCAATATGGCTGTCGTGACGTCATGTGCATATACTCTATATTGAATCGCACTTTTCAAATATGACACTTGAATATGAATAAATTTATGATTAATTTATGATTATATAAGTTTTCAAAAAGGTATTTCATTTTTCTACTTCTCTCTGTCATAGGCGTACGGGCAATTTTTTTCCC